AATCCGATGCTGGTTTAGATCAAAGAGTGTACAACTTACCAACTGCATCAGAAGTTGCTGGAATATGGGTAGATCAAGATACTCAAAACTATACGCTCACCCCTCATATTCGTGTATATACAAATAGCAATAGGAGTCAATTGGTAAATTATTATTACGGTTGTTATGATCCATTGCAATATCCACTGTTATTTCCATATGGTCAAAATGGATGACATTGTGGTATTCAGAAAGTTGAACCTTTAGGTGCTTCTACTTCTAGACAAAAATATTGTGAAAATGAACATTACCAAGCATAACAAATATGACTACAATTGATGGATTTCTTGATATAGAAGCTGAAGTTATGCAAAAAGGAAAGCGTAAAAGAAATAGTGTCTCCTGTCGTGAATATTATTGTTATCAACTTCAAATGCGAGATGATGAAAATATAATTCTACATTCAGGAAGATTGTTTCAACAATACACTGTTGAGCAATGGATAAAAATTGAAGCTCAACAATTATATTTTGCTTCTTTCAATCCGGATTTATATAGAACAGATGTATTAGGAGGATTGCTAGATGTTCTACGACGAGGTGATAGAGATGCTTCACAAGTAGGTAAATACAAATTTATCCCACTTAGCTTTACAGGAGGGCCAAGAGATATGCGTAGACGATACATGGATGCAATTGCATTGATTCAGCGATTTGGAAGACCTGATATATTTTTAACCATTACATGTAACCCCTCTTGGACAGAGATCAAAGAAAATCTAGTAGCAAGTGATGAAGCAAAAAATAGACCCGATTTAATTTTGTCGAGTATTTCGTGCAAAATTAGAGGAACTAAAAAAGGATTTGTTAAAGAAACACATATTCGGTAAAGTATTGGCATATATGTACATAGTAGAATTTCAGAAACGAGGATTTCCTCATGCTCATTTTCTAATTATACTTGATGAAAGATTCAAAATACTTACACCTGAAGCCTATGATCGATTTGTTTCTGCAGAACTACCAAATTTTACTGTAAATCCTCAACTATATTCACTCGTTACACAACACATGATTCATGGACCTTGCGGTGAACTAAATCCAACAAGTCCTTGTATGAAAAAAGGATATTGTAAGTTTAAGTATCCAAAAGAGCATGCTCATGAAACGACAAAAGGAAAAAAGTTCATACCCTATTTATAGAAGACGCAATACAGGAAACTATGTGGAGATTAGAAAATATCTTCTTAATAATTCACGGGTTGTCCCTTATAATTCCTTTTTATTATCCAAATGTAATTGTCATATAAACGTTGAGATTTGTTCAGATATCAAAATAGTTAAATACATTTATAAGTACATATGCAAAGGACATGATAAAATCGCATTCCAGATTCATACTAATGATACAAATATAGAAATTTATGAGATATAAGAATATCAATCAGCTAGATGGGTTTCCGCGCCTGAAGCAGCGTGGCGTATATTTGCCTTTAATATCAATGAAATGTCTCCTAATGTATACCATCTTCAACTACATCTTGATGGACAACAACTTGTTTTGTTCAAAAGTATTGATAATGTTAGTAAAATTATTAATAATCAAATGATTCAAAAAACAATGTTAAGTGAATTTTTTGTAATGAACACAATGAATGATACAGCTAAAAATTTAAACTTATTATATCGAGAATTTCCTGAATATTTTGTCTGGTCAAAAACAGATAAAATGTGGACAATTCGTAAGCGTGGAAATGCTATTGGACGTGTTGTCACTTGTCATCCTACTGAAGGAGAAAGATAGTACCTTAGATTACTTTTAATGAACATAAGAGGACCAAAATCATATCAAGACTTGCTAACGGTTAATGGAAAATTATGTACAACATTTAGAGAAGCAGCTGAAAAAAGAGGATTATTGCTTTAAGATAATAATTTAATAGAATGTATGTCTGAGGCTGTAGATTATCAAATGCCAGCAAGTCTTAGACATTTGTTTGCTATATTACTGATATATTGTAGCCCAAGTAATCCAAAAGAATTATGGGAAAAATTTGAAATATCCTTATCAGAGGATTTTATGAGAATTCCAAACATTAATACAATGGAAATTCGTTATAGGGTGTTAACGCATATTAATGATATTCTTCATTCAGTTGGTCGTGATATTAATGAATTTAAATTAATTCCTGAATTAATTAAAACATCTGCACTATCAAAAGAAGCTACAAATGTTTACTATGAAAGAAATCTTACTGTGAGTGAAGATGATCTGCTTGTACAAAATAAATTGAACACTGCACCAAAAAAAGCTTACAATATAATCTTAGAAGGAATATTTTCAAATAAATCAGGTGCATTCTTTATAGATGGCCCTGGAGGAACTGGTAAAAGCTTTTTATATCGTGCTTTATTAGCAACGGTTAGATATAGAGGATTTATAGCTTTGGCAACTGCAAGTTCAGGTGTTGCAGCTTTGCTGCATCCAGGTGGTCGCACTGCTCATTCCCGTTTTAAAATTCCAATAAATATCGAAGGAAAGTTTAGTTGTAACATCAGTAAACAAAGTTCTCTGGCATCTTTAATTCGTGATGCAAAACTTATAGTATGGGATGAGATTTAAATGGCAATAAAAGAAGTAGTTGAAGCTCTTGACTTACTTTTGAAAGATTTAATGGAAACAAGAATATTATTTGGCGGAAATGTTATTGTTTTTAGTGGGGATTTCTGGCAAACTCATCCTGTTGTTCGTAGTGGAAAAAGAGAAGACTTCATTAATCAAAGTCTGTTATGCTCTCAAATTTGGAATCAACTTGAAAAATTACAATTGCTAGAAAACATGCGTGCATAAACTGATCCAGCCTTTTGTGAATACTTAATGAGAATTGGTAATGGAATCGGAAAAAAAATTGATAAAGGCAAAATTCAAATTCCTCACTCTTTAATCGTACCATTCGAGAATGAAAAAGATTCATTGAATCTTTTATTTAAAGTTACTTATCAGAATTTCCACACCTCTTACTCAAATCTTTCTTTCATCACTTCTCATGCTATTCTAAAAAAATGATTTTTTTGACGAAATAAATGATATGTTAATCATTCAATTCCCAACTACTGAAAAAACATATCTAGCTACATATGAGACCATAGATCCAAAGGATCAAAGTGAATACGAAGACTAATTACATACTTTGAATCCCGTTCCTTACAAATTAACGTTAATAAAAAATTGTCCAATTATGTTACTAAGAAATCTAAATCCCTGTGAAGGTTTATGCAATGCTACACGCTTAATATGTAATGATTTCAGATCACACGTTATCAGCGCCACAATATCTAATGGTGATTTTAAAAATACACATGTATTCATTCCTAGAATACCACTACTAACATCAGATGATGAAAAGTTACCTCTACCATTTAAAAGGATACAAATTCCAATACGACTGTGTTTTGCAATGACAATTAATAAAGCACAAGGCCAAATTTTAGATTTTGTTGGTATTTATTTACGTGAACCTGTCTTTTCTCATGGTCAATTGTATGTTGCTTTATCAAGATCCAAGAGTTCTAATTGTGTTAAGTAATTGATAAGACCACCAATAGTTGATAACAACGATGACACATCTACATATAGCATTGTCTATGACGAAATTATAGAAAAGGCTTTTTCGTCAAACAATCTTACACTTTTGATGGTAAACAACCTATTGTATTCTATTATTAGATCTCATATATTTTTCTATTTCATACTATTATTCTTCTATTAATGATGATGTTGTCTTGATATTTAATCCCAGTTACCAGCCATGACAAAAAGATTGAATATCAACGAAATCGACGAGAACACAGAAGAATGGATTTGTAAAGTTCAAGTGGTAGATAAAGGTCATCCCCGAACCACCAGGGAGGGAAACAACAAATATCAATTGATGATATTACAGGATGAAAAGGTATTTGTCACTAAACTAATAAATACTCATCTACTTTCATAAATTAGTTTGTAGCAAAATAAATATAATGCATACCATTTTTACTTTGCTTTTTAATAGTTGTAATCTGTCTTCGCTCATTGATCTCCAATTCAATGCTCTTCTACTTAGTTGAAATATTGTTCCTTGTGAGTTGTACTGTCAAGCACTTGTTGTCACTGTAAATCTACATTTTACGTTTCTTTTGTTGTAGAAAAGTTACAGATTGGGTTAAATATAATTCGTTTTGTTTGTAGAACTTAAGTAAACTTGAATTATGAAGTTCCTTTTTAAATAAATTTAGCTATTGATTGATTTGATTTTACGTTGAAGTTCTGTTCTACTGCTTGTCAGTTTTCATATTAAGCACTTCTTATCACTCTAAACCCACATTTTAATTCTCTTTTTTTTAGACATAATTTGTGTTATAGAGAAGTTCGTTATTGTTTTGGTTCGATGCTATTGATTTTCTTTGCAAAATATAGAAAAAAATTAAATTGTAACCTCAACGGATACCACTGCATTTAACATATCGAATTGTTTTTTAAAGCAAAATCACATACAAATTTTTAGGAACGATAGTGTGAAGATTATAGAATAAATGAAATATTATTATACAGATAATGAAGAAGGATAAAGAATATCTTCCTCAACTGCTTTCGGAGACTTTGATAAAGAATGTCTTCCTCAACTGATTTTGTAAACGCACAGAAAAACCTGATAAATATGTGAACTGATATTTGAGAATTAATTTTTCCGCTAAAAGTGTTGCTTAATGTTGTTGCTGTCATGTTCCTTAAATAATTATCTACAAAATCAGTACTTACATTTTTTACTGTAGCCTTCATTCTGTTGATTAAACCATCATGTCCATGGCAAAAGCTCCACTCAATACTCATATCCTTTAAATTTTATATTCCCCATAAAAATTAACTTTTCCCAACAATTCAAACCACTTTTGAATTTTTATACCAACTATATGTTATTTCACTTACCTAATATTATTCTAATTTCATTAAATTTCTCATAGGAAACTCAAATGCAAGTTATCATGCACGGTACAGATGTCGGACATTATGCAAATGAGTTTGTTCCTTTCCAAACATATTTGCTATTGGGGGCATTTGTCTCCGAGTCGATCAAGACGTATGGAATTCCTCTTCATCAATTCAGATGGACAATTGATAAGGGCACAATTGTTGAACCAATAGATAAAGTCATACCCCCTGAACCACCATTGCTGCCACCAACGCTGCTAAAAACTACATCGTTTGACAGTTTCGATTATCAAGCTATAGGCTTTGAATTCGGCACTTCTCAAAATATATTTACTGTATACTTACAAGACATATAACTCATTTTTCATAACTATTACCACTTACTAATAACTCTTTAATTCTTGCAAGACATTCTTGCCCTCGTGATAAATGGTAGTCCTCCATCATATGCCTCAAACGGGAACAAAATTCAAGAATTTATCATCATCGACTATGAGTAAGTACAATGTTACTTTTCTTCTTATATCGTTCTGTTTTCTATGTGCTTGTGTCAAATAACTGGATTTATTAATAAATAGTGATGTCATCTTTGTTTTCGTCAAAGTTGAAAGTCCAAATTTGATCTAGGTGTCTGATTTACCCTCTTTCTTAAAAAGTAATTTTTTTATAAAAAAATTCCCTTCTCTTTGATTGCAAGCATTTCATATTTGAATGTTACCTTACCATGGTATATAGCTTGATCTAAGGATCTAAAATTTCACTCAATTTCACAAAGTTTTTTGCTGCAACTACTTTTTCATTCGTAATGTTGCCCAAAAGCGAAAAGAAAAAAATAAATAAGGAGAAAAAGATAAGTTGGTTACCACATATTGATAAAAAGTTTCCAATTATCCCATAAATTGTTCTAATTTCCTTTGCAAATCACTAACTGGATGCTATGAAATTGGGAGTGGAGGATGTGGTTGATCATCTGATTTTGATTTTATTGTATATCTTGATATATCAGATTTATCTTATTGTGGTGTACTTAAACTTGAATCACATCTATTGTTATTAATATTTGATTATCCTTTTCATTGACTGATTAAACCTGATCAAGAGTGACAATTATAATATGTCAAGACCCATAGAAAACACTAACCAGCCACTTTAATGGAAGAATTAGTCAATTCTATTTGAATGTAACCTTACCATGGTATATAGCTTGACCTAAGGATCTAAAATTTCACAATGTTTTCTGCTCCATCTACTTCTTCATTCGTAATGTTTCCCAAAAGAGAAAAGAAAAAAATAAATAAGGAGAAAAAGATAAGTTGGTTACCACATTTTGATAAAAAGTTTCCAATTATCTCATGGATTGTACTAATTTCCTTTGCAAATCAGTAACTGGATGGTATGGAATTGGGAGTGGGGGATGGGGTTGATCTTCTGATTTTGATTTTATTGAATAGTTTAAATATTAGATTTATCTAATTGTGGTGTACTTAAACTTGCAGCACATCTATTGTTATTAATGTTTGCTTATCCTTTTGATTAACTGATTAAACTTGATCTAGGTTTGTCAATATTATCAAATCTCATTATAGCGACATAGTAATGGTTAACTTGTAAGCTCATTCTTATAAGGAATGTCATGCACATTGTTGGTATTCAAGAGTGACAAATATAATATGCTAAGGTCCATAGACAACACTAACCAGCCACTTTAATGGAAGAATTAGCCAATTCTACAGGTTGCTCTCTCAAAAAAAAAGGAAACACCTAGCTATTTGAACAATCTAAATATGCTTACTCCGTCTTTGTTTAGCCAGAATTCCTCTTCTTCTTATGACCAAATGGAATACCCTTCGATAAGAGAAGGGATCATCAACTTCAGGTAAAAAAAAATTGTTGCTAACATGTGCCAATATCTAGCAGTTTCTGTATGTAAATATCACTTGAGATGAATGAATTACTTAAAAACATTTTTATCTAATATGAATTCAATATACTAGCTATTTGTCTCCCCTCCATTTTCACCTTTCGCAAACACCACCAGTTCAACCACCCACCCCGCTTACCATTTCCTTTACATATTTGGTATTTTAGATGTTACTTGATTGCAACTATTAATACTATACCATTTGTAAGCCTAGTTTTTATGTAATGTTTATCAGAAAGATGTTGCTTTTGAGCCATGATAATTGCGAACCAGAATAAAAAAGAATATAAATAATTATTAAAGCTGTTGAGTAATTCTAATTGCGGGCAAATATTCATCCTCTAAAGTTATATTGCATCCCACTTTGATGATATTCATTCTATTTGTGTATATACAACAATTGTAACACATTTTTCTTTACTTTCTTTCGTGAACTTATTCCCAAATTTGCTTGTATCTGTGTAAGTTATGATCTATTATAACACTGTTTATCTTCTTCTTTTTTAAATGAAAATAGGAGGAAACCAACAAAACTCACTCTCTGGGAAGAATTCATCGACCTATATGGAAACAAACTTCTCAAACACCTGATAGAACTTCAAGAATTTCCAGTAATCATTGCCAGAAAAGTGGCCAAATCAAAATCATCTTCAGGTAAAATCAAACATATTAACAATATCTCTTATAACACATATTAATCAAATTAACACCAACTATTAAACAATATGCAGGCCTTTCAAATAGATTTGGTACAACAATCCAGATTGATCCTCCATACCCACAAGCTATCGCATTAAAGACATGGTATTCAAAATACACCTCTCCATAAATAAATAAATGTTTTCACATCTTTAACATTTTTTACATACAGGTCTGATGAAATAAAACCGGTTCTCAACACATACACAACAAAAAGCACCGCAGCTACAGGCTCTCTTTTGTTTGTGCCATTTGAAGAACACATAGTGCCTATTGTCAACATCCAACAACAATCTTTGGTATATGCATCATCTACATCTTAAATCTCTTAATTAAATGAAATCTTAATCTAATTTACCATTTCATCTGTATGCACAGGGGCAAGTATTCCACATGCAAGCTCTATTGTTAATATCCAATGAAACTCAAAAATTCCGTGTCTTAGTCTGCTCTGACTACAAGCAAGTATTTCCAAGGATTTGGACACAGAGAAAATTCTATTGTACAACTTGCCGTCGACCAAAAAAACTCACACCAAGGTATGAAAATCATATCAGTAAGATCAATAACTGCATAACCATAACGTCCTTGAATTAAATTTGGTACGTTAAATTTTTTCAAATTTTTAGCACTGATTTAGCTATATTTTGGAAGTCATGAATTCAAAATCTATATTCCTAATATCAATTGCTAAACTTTCATAGTTTTCACATATGTAAATATCTAAAGATGAGTTTATCCCGTGTGAGACTTTGATTAATTTTAGGATGAGTTTTTCTCGTGTTTGGTTGCAGATCATAGAATCACAAGATAAATTTTCCACAAATAAAGTGTTTTTACTACTACTTATATGATTTTGATAATTAAAATGCATGCATTAATTAGTTTTTTCAAACTTAGATGGATTGGATAAGTGAGCGTTATTTTACTCTTGGATGCTTTCCTCTGGTGTACAATTGTCTTAGTAACAAAAGAAGAAAAATATATAAAACAAGTCCAAGCCATGCACAATAAATAACAAATAGAGAAAATATCAAATAACAACAAGAAAATTCGACAACCCTTTTTACCTTTGGTTGGAAGATGGATGAAAAGTTGTTTTCATTTTCTCAAAACACTACATCTACTCAATAAATCTAACTCATCATTAGATTAATAAGAACCCATCTTTACTCTTATGTTTTGAATCCAAATAATAAGATAACATGTCTTTGGTTCGGTATAAGTGAAATGAGGATCTTATACTCTTTTGTAAATATACCTCTCATAGATATATCTGAAGTTAAATGAATTGAAATTTGTGACCAGGAGTATGTTCCTGTCTACATGGGAAGTTCAAAATATTTTTTCAATAAATTGCTTATTAGGCATTTCTTGATTTTTTGATTGGAAGGAATTTCGCAAATCAAGTAACGATAGTATTATCACAATCTAATACATACTTTTAGCAAGTGTCTCATTCTGTTTTAGTGTCTCACTTCAAACACTACACACACCTAAACTGATGCCGAAGTTTTCTTTTCCATTTTTTGAGTAACCAATATGATAAAATATTCAGGTGCTGCAACCTTATGTATCATAGTTTAGTTTTCTTAAGGCTTGAGATACTTCATTTGTTTTGCAACTGCTAACATGTTATTGATGTAAAATATTGTTGCAGGTTATAGATTATTTATATCTTATTTAATTATGGTTTGATAGGCTAGAAGAATCGGCTTTGATAAATTGTGATGTAGTGGATAGATACTTTGGATACGTGTTGAGTTGGTTGCTTTTACATTTTATTGTAATTCTGATGTTCATCCAAGTATTCAAAGAGCATACTACCAAGAACAAGACATCTTCTAGCCGGCTAACATCATTGCTTTCTTGTAAAGTTATATAAATACCACCTTTGTTTGGTAGAATTATTTGATTGCATAACATATGAGCATATGAATGATTAGTAAACTAAATAACAATTTTCAATTTAAAAAATTATTATTTAAATTGTTATGTAGTGGATAGATACTTTGGATACGTGTTGAGTTGGTTGCTTTTACATTTTATTGTAATTCTGATGTTCATCCAAGTATTCAAAGAGCATACTACCAAGAATAAGACATCTTCTAGCCGGCTAACATCATTGCTTTCTTGTAAAGTTATATAAATACCACCTTTGTTTGGTAGAATTATTTGATTGCATAACATATGAGCATATGAATGGTTAGTAAACTAAATAACAATTTTCAATTTAAAAAATTATTATTGAACATAAACATATTGACTTTTGGTCAGATGTCAGTTTCAAGTAACCATCAAGGATGATACTGGTTCAACAACAGCCATGATTTCAAATAAAATTGGAGAAGAACTATTGTCTCTAACTGTAGCAGAAATTCATGACATACGTTGCATCAAGGTAAAACACTCTACAACCTCTTGTTTATTCCTTAAAAATGTAATCTTACATGAGTTCTTCCATCATTCAGAAACAACTGTTGTCACTCTTATCCGTGCAACACAAACTGTTAGGCAAGACATTCACCATCCAAATAAAGAAGTTGTTTGCCAAAAATAAGGATGCATCTTCAGCAAAACTGGTTATCATGTCAATCACCGAGATATATATAACTAGCAATCTGCCACTGCCCATCAACGCACCAACAACTCCAGAAAGTAGTAAACGCAAGCTGAAGCAAATCATGATAAAAGAAGACTAAAAGGTATTCTCTCTACTAGACTCTCATTTGCTATGCAGCAATAAATGTTGTTTGTCCTATTAATAATAAAACTAATGCTTGCATTTTTTTGTTTATGATGTTATATGTAAATTCTGGGTTAGATCTATATAGGAAAATATGTTTTTGATAATATGCTACGATTAAATTTTGTTCTTCTGGAAATATAACAAATGTGGTTACAACTTGTATCCCTATTTATTGCTAAAGGGAATCTATCATATCTGTTACATTTGATAGATTATTTGTAGAAAGAGGATGTGTGTTGCATTACGAAATGTGTTTCAGTTTGATTGCTGATTGATGATAGTTTGGTAGATTAGAACATGGAGTCAAATTTCAGACGTTGAGTTAGAGATAAAAATGCGAATTGATGGGGAGTTTTGAAATATTTTGAAATTGGGTTCTAATATCAAGGTGTTTGATTCTGATTTTCTGGATAAGATTTGATACTCTCCTTTTGTTATAGTGCAATACTTTTTTGCAATATGGTTGGAAACACCATTTTGTCTTGATGGCGTACATTTTTGGTGCTGATAGCATGGACTTTGCTGCATAGTTATAAGAAATTGACAGGTACTTAAATCTTTCAATCAATGATAAATTCTTAAACAAACCAATACTATACTCAACATTAACTCCTCTCCATAACTATATACTAAATTCATTTTTCATCTTATTTCACAGGTGCTTTCTGAATGACGCTGACTAATAGTCAAAATACAACATTATGCAAATATTGTAGATATCCAACCTAAATAACACAGCCATGACAACGAACAAAACAACTGCCAACCATATTTCATATATATATATATATATATATACATATATATATAATATCTATCCATCTCTCTCTCTCTCCCTCTCTCTCTCTCTCTCTCTCCCTCTATATATATATATATATATATAAAACTAACAAAAATCTTTCAACTTGCACGGGCCACCTCTACCTTGTTTTTTTTTTATAGAAAAACTATAAATCAAACATGACTTGCAAATTGCACTCATATCTTGCCAATTGTAAAATACTATTATTATTCTATACATGCACACGCTATCTTCCACTTGATTACGGCTTTTGCACTAATTTAGCATGACATATAAAATATTACACGACCTAAAGAATTCTTGGCGATATTTAACTTCATATTGTTATTTGTTTTTGAATATCCAAATATCTATTATCAATGTAGTTTAAACATATTACTTACTTCACATATAAGGGAAGGAAATTAATAGCTAGATTACACACCAACCAAAATACTAAGGGATCGTTTAGTACAAAGATGTATAATGCATGGATAAGTAACATATAAATTGATAATACAATGATTAGTAATGTAGAGTTTATTAATGTAGGAATTAGCTTTTATCAAGCGTTAGTCTAATTGATTTTCACCTAATTTTGTGTTTAGTTTAAGACTCTAAAAAAACCTCTTTCTCATTATACCCTTGAGATATTATGAAATTCTGTTTTATTTGACTAATCAATTATTATTATTATTATTTTTATTTTTATTATTATTATTATTATTATTAATTCTGAGGTGTGATGTGTCACTACAGATATCCTAAATAGCATGATGTATTTCTAATTTTTTGTTGGTAAAATATATCGCAAACATAACATAGATTTATGGCTATTGAAATTGTTAAGCTTATCAATAGAAAGAAATAGTTCAATTGCTCAATCGATGAATTACATTTTTAAAATTTTTGAAAAAACCAGCCGAATATAGTAAATCAAACATGGAGAAAACAATATTAGTTTGTGAAATCATCTAATTACATTGAACGGATTTGGAGAATTAAAAAGAAAATTTACAACTATTTGAATATAATTAAAAAAAGCCATTAAATTACAAAAGAAAATAGAAATAAAGTTGAGGGATAATTTAGTCATATAGAGGTATTATTCAAGGATTGTCAGACTTTGAATTAGTTATCTCTCCCTTTTCTAGAGATAAAATAAGACCACATATGAGGTATAACTAATCCATGAATTAAGTTAAATAATGTAACTAAATAATATTTTTGTTGGACTAAATTTTAGTCCATGGACTAGTCTAATTAATAACTCATACCAAATGAGTCTCTAAAAAAGATTCTGGGGCTAAATATTTCACTATCGGAGCCTACACCCTGGACGTGACCGACACTCGAAAATCATTTTTCGTCCTAAGTGAACCTCATTCTGGCTTACTACAAGCGGAAGACTAACTCAAGTATACATAAACATAGAAATTAATTAAATTTAATAAACTCAAATATTAAACTTTAAAAAGATCCAAACAATATTCAATAGATATACTCAAAGTTTGTAAACAACTCAAAGAAGATACATACTGAAAACTACTTAACATTTTCTACCTATGCAACCGCTAACATTATAGAAGGATATCGGTACAAAACCCACGACATCTCAAACCAACTAAATGTTAGGTAAAGGTGAAGTCCTCCAGAATATACGAAGTCTCACCCAAACTGACTAGAACTGCAAGTGGTATCAATGAACCTTTTGTTGATGACCCTGAATACATGTAACTGCATCATAAAATGATGCAAGCCAAATGACGTCAATACATTGAATGTATGAGCACGGAAGGGGAATTTAAAGCATAAACATAACCTTGAACTGGTAGAAAAGAAATATACTTACCTTTGCTGAATTCAACTCAACTCAACTCAATGAAACATAGTTCAACTCAACTTAGAAAAATAAATCTCAACTCAACAATAAGATACTGAACTCTGTGAAACATAGTTCAACTTAACTTAGAGAAATAGGGCTCAACTTAACAATAAGGTACTCAACTTTGTGGAACATAGCTCAACTCATCTCAAAGAAATACCCAACAATAAGATAATACACTCTGTCTCAAGAGTACTCAACTCAAACTCAAGATGAAATCAACAATAAAGAATGAAATATCTGAAAAACTGTTAAAACAATAGATAATAACTCAGTTGTGAGCTAAGATACACCAATAACTCAATTTTATGAAAATAAAATAATAACTCTTATTTGTATGTAATTTTTTTGTTTGGGAGATTGTCTAGCTTACACCCATCACCATGAGATATGTGATGATACATTGTCTAACTCATGCTGCAAGAACTGTCCTATACTTTGTCTGGATATAAAACCTACTGACTAAGTGAATCCACTAAGCTATGCTTAAAAAGTAAAAGAAATCATAAAAAAAGTATGACCCTTTACCATGTTGGCAGACATGGTTTATGAGAATTTTGAGTTGTCCAAACTCATCCCTTTATCAGTTCTCAATACTACTCCCAATACTATATGATTATATTTTTATAAACATAACTCTTGCTCTGGTTTGAGATAATTTCTCAAATTACCCTCTTAAAAGAGGTAACTACTCTTGAAATATTTTTTAAACTCATAATAACTCATTAGAAATCTCAGTTTCTCTTTTATCAATGTAAAAATTGATACCTCTGGAAATACATAGTCCCCTTATACTCTTACTCAACTCACACTTAAAAACTCTTTTTGAAAACATATCAAAATCATATTATAGTATGATCATTTGGTGACTCAGAAAATCATACTCCATAAATTTTGATGGTATATCTAGACATCGTACTCCTCATACATTGATGACATACTCGATTTTCATAGTAATCATGTTTTAAAAAAATCTTTTTTTTCAAAATTCATCTTCACTTTCTCAAAACTCAGTTTAAGATCAATTGTTACTTTAAAAAGCTTTTCATAATCTATAACTCAAATCAAAGGGTTCATGTGTAATTATGGACATGAACGACACAACTCAGGAATCTTAATAGCAATAAGGAAGCTCAGTACTCAAAATTCAAGACTCAAGAACTCAAAACTCATAACTCTTGATATTTCTCCTCTCAAAAATACTAAATTCATAGGGATCATGCTGAAATATAGATATGAACGAATAAATTCTAGAATTAGGAATAGAGTTTCAAAAAGATTCAGGAACTCAAGTGTAACGCCTCGCAAGTACACCCTAGAAGTTAGAGCATCTTTGTGTCGCCACATGGCAAATGAGACTTCAAGAAGTCTCATTAAATCCACTCATTTCATCCATTGCATAATAAATATTCTAAAATGAGAAAGAATTTAAAACTTTCTTCACACACAAAGAACTCTTTCCATAATCAATACGCAAGAGGAAGACTTTCATTTGAAACATTAGACCTTTAAAACACCTCATTGAACCATCTAAACTTTGGAGTATATAACACTTGGGACTAATCCCATACAAGACATAAAATAAAGTCTAAGACATAAAATGACATGTGGATATTATCCTGAATCGATGAGGACTCACCAATAATTTATCTTCAACCCTTAGGTACCTATCCATCCTCCATGGCAAATCAATACTTCCAATTTCCTACACTTTAGTCAAAAAGGGAAAAGGAGGGGTTAACCCATTAGATAAAATAAGTATGAAAGCCATGCAAAAACCATGAAAAAGAAAATTTAGTAAATAACAGGCTTTTCGAATTTTGATTAAAACAATATACTATAAGCATAAGAACAACATTTAACACATTAGGAAAACATAAGAAATCATTTAAACAATTTATCACATTTTTAGAACAACTTCACAGTAAGCAAGTTCACTGTTACAGTGAAGCCTATCAACTTCACATAGAGCACTTCCTAGCATGCAATCCTCTCAGTAAAAACTATCCTAAGACTCAGTTAAGTAAGACAAAGAGAGACTACCCATACACCCTCTTTAGGCACACCTAAATGATCCTTAAGACCACCTATAATGAGATACACACACTTACAACACATCAAGCACATGAACATGAGATCCTCCTACCAAAGGTGATTCTAAGGTTCACTGGAGTGAGTTGTAAAGTGACCGCCCGTACAATCCCTTACACACACACTTAAGAGATCCTATCGACTACCTAAGATAGAAACATTATCACTTAATACATTAGCATACATATAATATGACATTCTCCCCTACAAATATTATCAAAAGAATTACTTAAGTAAATCAAAAAGATAATGTCCATGATTGACCTCTTCAAAATTACCCAAATAATCCTTGAGACTACCTAAGTTTGGATCATGTCTACATAGTCAACCAACTTCCTAACTAGATTCATTCTTAAGACTTATCTAGGTAAGAGATGAAGTGACAATTCCTATGCCCCCTTCACACCTTAACAAGATAACTCTTAACTACTCTAGATACGTACTTCTTCATTTAACATACGTTCTTACTTAAGTCATTACATTCCTTAGCTCATTTAAGACTCATTCATCTCATAATGAACTTCAAGTAATGGTCTTGGACAAGACCTAGGGACTCTAACTAACACCTTCAAAGCCTATTGTGCAATGTCTAGATAGCGTCCCATACCACCACCTATACTTCATAGAATTTCTCTAATGCTAGTAGGTATACCATATGATGAGAATAGACAATAACCGACATAAACCATGATAGCTAAACATGGAATATAGAGTTCTAACCTACTCTGATGAGGGTTTTCTACTTGCCAAGGGTAGAACTAGGATCCATTCTATGTATGCACATAGTTAAGAAAAACTAAGGGCTTTTATGCACTCTAGTCTCATTCTCAAGTAGAGCTATTTTGTACTCTAGTCTCCTTCTCAAGTATATCTACTTCCCATAACATACTCACTCGGTGCTAGCCTTTGTTCTCATAGAGTCATTTACATTAAAGGATCACATGAAGAGGTTCTATGTCTATTTCATAACCCAATCACATTCACCCTACCAAAGAGGTCCTCTAGGGCTACCTTACAATGGCGA